GAGGAGGAGGAGGAGGAGGAGGAGGAGGAGGAGGAGGAGAGGAGGAGGGAGGAGGAGGAGGAGGGAGGAGGGCGGAGGAGGAGGAGGGGAGGGAGGAAGAGGAGGAGGAGAGGGAGGAGAGGGGGGGGGAGAGGAGGAGGGGAGGAGGGAGGATGAGGAGGAGGAGGAGGGAGGAGGAGGAGGAGGAGGAGGAGGGGGAGGAGGAGGAGGGGGAGCGGGGGAGCAAAAGGAGAAACCAGGAGGAGTACGAAGAGAAACGCGGGGATTCGGACGACACTGCTGCGGGAAAAAAGAGGATCATGGTGAGGGGGAAGGAATCGGACGGAGGCACGACCAGATCGAAACGAGTGCGCAGAGCGAGCGAAAAGAGGGGAAAAGAGAAGGACAAAGGCCGAGGGCGCGCAACCCGACGATTAAAGAAGAAAGACAGCCCGAGACGCAGCCTCAGACTACCGCAGACGAAGCCAAAAGCAGGCATCGTCTGTGGGGAAGAGAGGGCGGAGCTCGCCCCGCCACTCGCCCGAGCGGGGGTCTTTACCTGCTACTAGGCGCTTTAAATAAGTGGCGTCCTTGCTGGATGCAATGCCCTCACACTGGCCCCACAAACGAGAGCGAGGGGCCGACGGCTGGGCCCTGGCGCCGCAGCGGTGGCAGAATGCAAGGGTCTCACCAGCAAGACTGATTTGATGCCCTCTAGCACTACTGGGCCCAACAGGGCCTTGAGCGGGGAGAGGGACCCCAGGGCGGGTGGCATCACGCGCAACCCAGGAAGGCCCACCAGGACCTCCAGAGGTCCGAGGGCGCTTGCAGGGCGGGGGCCCCGCAAGCTCGCCAGAACCCGCAGGCCCACCGACGCCCGACGCGGAGGGCGCAGCCCCCGTCCGAGGCGCCTTCGGACTCGACCCCACCAGGGGCCCACCAGCCCTGCGGTCCCTCGCCGTCCTGGCAGGAGCGGGGGGTGGTGGTGGTGGGGGGGGGCTCTCGCGGGCCCAGGGAGCGTGCCTCTTTGGCGCGCCGACACGCTTCCCCCAACTCAGCATCCAGCAGATCCTCTCCCACACCATCCACCTGAAACCTCACCCGCTTAAAGGCCAGGGACCGCTCAAGACCCTCAGTCGCGAGGGGCGGCGACCTCTCTGGCCCACTTGGGGCTTCAACACCCCGAAGCTCCAAGGAGGGGCTAGCCTCAGAGGGGCCCGAGGCGCTCCCGCACGGCCCGCCAGGGCCCCTTGGCCCAGCAGGGGCCGCAGTCGAGGAAGGCTCAGGCGAAACACCCTCCAGGCCCCAGAGGGCCGCCGCCTCCGCAACCCTACAACGACCCCTTCTAAGCCTCGCAGCACCTTTCGGAGTCACCGCGCAAGCGGAGCAACGATCACAACTATACTTCCTGCCCCTCAGCCGCACACGATGCAGGAGCTGAGGAGGGCAGGCCTGCTCGCCTGCGGGTGATCCCGCACCGCGGCGCTCACTCACAGCGCCGCTGCCACCAGCGCCTGCCGCCACCAGCTGCGCCCAGCGGCCGCGCGGCGCCCTGTCCCGCCGCCGTGGGACGTCCACGCGGTCGGGGGCCACGGTGCCGTCGAAAATCATCCTGGGGGCGTTTGCAATCCAGGTCGCGACCGATCTGAGCGTATTCAGCGAGTCGGTGTAGCTCTCGACAATGCCCTGAGGAAGGTCGTGCAGCTGTCGACCCCTCTTTGCCGCTTGATCTGCCAGATCGTTGCAGCGGCGATGCCACGAGTCCTCACTGGAGTGGCCTTTGACGTATGAGAACCGAATCGGACCCTCCAGGTCCCCAGAAATGGAAAAACCTCCGTGATCCTCCAGCTGGTGAAATAGGCGACGCCAAAGATCCACGTTCTCACGCCTCGGATTGAGGCGCCAGCGCTTGCCACGCGCCAGCCCCTCAAGCAACGGCATGTAGTCCGTGAAGATATGGAGCGGGGCCACGCCGACGGACAGCACCTGAATCACGGCGAACAGCTCGCCCCGAGCAGACGTCTGGCGATGGCCAGGCAGCGGCCCAAAGACAGCCCCGTAGTAACGAGCATCTCCCACAACCACGAAGCCCCAGCCCGCGCGGTCAGCAGCGCCCCAGTGAAGTAACTTCTTGCACGATCCGTCAGTGAACACCGAGCCCGTGACGACAAAATGTCCCTCAGCCCGAGCTCCACGATCATAGCACCAAACACCTGAATCGTTCCTGGGCGGCAAGGCAGGCAGAAAGGAGTTGAGGTACAGCCCGCGAGAGTAGAGCAAGTCCCCAGGTGGTGCCCTCCTTGCCGCATCCAGGGTGGCCTCAGAAACCGCATACTCACGAATGTCATCAAACACGTGGCATCGCCAATACCTGTGGTGAGCCGTTCCGTCGACACCAGGACAGTTCCTGCAGTCGGGGCAGTGAGCGTAAGCGTATCGGTGCAATCGCTTCTGCGTGAAGTGGCCGCCCACGACCGCGGTGCGTAGCGCAGCCCGAGCCAGCGGGTCCAATACCCAACGCTTGGCCCTGGGGCCTGGGCAAAGCAACGCACGTATGGGGCTCAACCACGCACCAGCTGGGTCCTTGTGAGATGGGCCATCAAGCTCTGGCATCACCTCTGGCCTGGCAGCCCACTGGTACCAGCCCACGACCTCAAAGTCCTTGAGCGCCAGCCACTTGACACCTGACGGGGCCACCTCACGTAAGCCCATAGTAACACCAGCACGAGTGCGGACTCGAAACGCTGGGGAAACGGTCCAGCCCAAGTAAGTCACAGACCGCGCAAAAGCACCAGCTGGGCCAGCCACCAGCTTCCAGCTCTCACGCCAGTCAACAGAGGCCACCTTCCAGAACTGAGAGCGCCATGCCGCCTGCAGCGTGGAGTGATCAACTTCCCCCGACTGAATCATCAACGCCCAGTTGAAAACAGGTCCAACAATGGCCATCGTCACTGGTTGAAACTCAAAGCCTTCTTCCAATCTCGACGCGATCCAGTGCGAAGCTCCCGAGGGAATGGCATGCCAACCCAGCTTCGCCAGGGAGGTCACACGCTTGACCAGGTGCGGCCCAGCTCCCAAAATGCCCAAGCCGTAGGTAATAGCAGGGCCGACTGCTGCCTTGGGAACCTGTCTGAACTTCGCACCGAGGTGGCCCAGCCTCCTGAAGTGTCTGGCTCGCTTCGAGACGCGCCCGACCCGACCCCGAATCACACGAGCACGGACGCTCTTGCCAGCGGCCACCTCAAGGCCCAAGACCTCCAACCAGGACCTGGCCTGGAAACCGTACCTCCGTGGAAGCCGAGCCACGGCGGGGGCGGTGGAGTCGTCAGACGCTGTGAGAAACGCCTTCGACTTCGCCACGGGGAGGCCGAGATCCAGCAGGGTGTCGCAGAGCAGTGCCACCGCGTCGGTGGCGATCCTGCACAAATCCGTCCGTCTGGCCACCACCTGCAGGGTTAAGCCGTCAGCGAAGATGGCCAAAGAAAAGGAAAAACCCATCTGAGCAGGAATGTCGAGACCGACCGTGCTGGCGAAGTCATCCATTGACGCGAGCATCAGCAGCTGCACGAGGGCCATCGCGAACTTGCAGCCTGGAAGAACGCCCTGAGACACCGTAACAGCATATGACGTAGCCTGCTGCCACACGAGCCTGCGAGGCGCACGATACATCACCAGCGCACATGAAAGCAATTCGCGCGGGAAGCCGTGCTTGGCCGCCGCTGAGATCAGCCTCCGCCAACAAATGCGGTCGAAGCACTTCTCTACATCAACAATGGCCGTCACGACGCCATCCTCGACCGCCAGTGCAGCTTCGGCCCTCGCAAGGGCCCGCGAGGCCACATCCAGAGTGGTCTTGCCAGAGGCCAGGGCGAAGAACGGCCTGTCGTGCTCCAGCAGCCAAGCCCGCAGCTGCCCGCTGCGGACCTGCGACCACACACGGTAGGTCGCCTGCAAGAGCGCGATGGGCAGCCATCCACCTTTGGGCTTCGCCAAGAGCACAATGTGGACGGCGGCCAGCTGCGTGGGCCAGCGCTCCCAGTGCTCCGCCAGCCAAAGTACATAGACGAGCAACGAAAGGGTCTCGTCCGTGAGCAGGCTGAGGGAGCGAGGCGCAAGTCGGTCAGCACCTTGCCCCGTGTGCCACTTGAAGGACTTTGCCGCCGCACGCAACTGCCCTATCTTAGGCACAGGCAAAGAGGCGCGCGGCAAGCGTAGAATATCCTCGAAGAGCTGGGCCGTGTCAGGGAAGTCCGCGAGGTGTCGCACAACGTAATCATCGGGCCCAACAGCCGCGCCTTGCACTTGATCACGGGCGGGGGCCTCGGACGCAGGGCGTGCATTCCAGATGCCAGACCAACCATCCATTTGATCATCTGCAACATCCTGAGCCAAGGTGGAGGGCCTCTGATGCCGAACCACTTGGGAATGCGGAACACCAGACGGTCTTGTGAAGCTGAACAGCGGCTTGGTGCGAGACTCACGACAGTTGGCGGCCCACCGTGCAAAGTCCCGCCTGCGCTCGGCCATCGCCGCCTGCTCCAGGTCGTCGGCGAAAGAGCGAAGCCAACCGATGACAAAGTAGACCGAATCCATCAGTAGGCGCTGAATGCCAGTGAGATCAAATCCCACGAGACCAGTAGTAGTCCGCCCAGCGTGGTCACCTGACTGCAACAGGGCCGCTCGATCCAACAGCACCTGGAATGCGATGGGGGACGCTTTAACGACCTCTCGTGCCAGCGGCAAGATGCCTCGCAGCGTGGCCACCACGTGCTTGCACTCGAGCGAACGAAAAGACCTTTCGGCGCCCGGAGAGACAAGCCTGTCCAAGCGCCGAAATAAATCCAAGGGTTGCAGACCTGCACGCAGCGCGTCGTCCGCAGCCTGGGCCAGGCGCCGAGCACGTCGAGCGTCAGGAGGCGCGGCAGGTCTCGCAGCTGCAGGCGCTCCTCCAGCTTGGCGCCAGCAGTAGGCCACCTTACCAGCACGGCCGCAGTAGCGAGGAGCGTCGCACGCAGGGATGCCGTAGCGCACAAGCAACTCCTCCTCCACGATGTTCACAAACTCAGCGTACAGGCGATCCAGCCGCGCCTGAGCCTGAACAGGACTCGCAACTCCACCCTGTAACACATCATCCTCGATGAGGTCGCGGGTGCCACCCGCCAGCACAGGTGTGACATCCTCGGTCGGGGCCGCCTTCGGGAAGGCCTTCGGCGCCCGCAGGACGAGGAACTTGACCGCCTTGGCCCGCGCGTCGAGGGACGTCATCATCGGGAAATGCGGCGACGCAGGCCAGCCCTCCACAGGCAGGGGCGGCGCTAGCGAGCTCGCGATGGACAAGCTGGCCAGCCAGTAGTCGATGGTCGAGTAGGCTCCCTGAGCGCTGCGGCACGTGCCCGCAGGGAGGCGCCCTGTAGGAGCAGGGGGCCTCGCGACCACTGCAGCAGGGATGAAGTCCAAGAAACCGTACTCCATGAGATGCTTCGGATCGCAGTTGAAATCGCCCGCCATCAGAAACGGCCTGTTCCAACCCCGCAGCGCAGTAGCGATGTCGTAGAGCCGCATCACATTCACGTCGTTCAATCGCCCCACTTCAAAGTAGCAGGACAATAACACGAGACCGCCTCTGATGCCAAAATCCGCATGACATGCCACACAGAAACTCGGAATCAGGTCAAAACCTCGCAAGTCTGGCAGCATCGTCACGCTGGTGTGACGCCGAATGAAAAGACCAACTCCAGCAGAAGGCCGCCCCGACTCCAGACGTCGGCAGGATGAGATAATAGCATGCCATCCAGATCGAGCCGCCCAGCCTTCAGCGCGCCGACGATCGTCACCATCGATGCGCAGCTCCTGAGCCGCCACCACCTGGATGCCAAGGTCGCAGTGGGTCAAAAACTCCCTGCATGAAGCCCAGGACGAGCCGTTGTAGGTGACGAATGAGGCCTTCACGCGGGCGCTGCCTCGACGCCCACGGTGTCTAGCCTCCCATGTCGGCCTCGCCTGCGGCTTCCCAGGCGGCAGCGGCGGTTCCCCCGCCTGCACGAAACGCGTAGGCAGCACCAGGAGGCAGCGCAGCCGCAGGGGGAGCTGCGGCTGCTGGCGGGGAGTCTGCTGGGCCTCCTGCTCCAGCGGCGGCGGGGGCAGCCGCGGCTCCTGTGGCCGCGAGGGCCGAGGCGGCGGGGAACGCTGTGCCAAGCGCTGCAACCTGCTGCCCAATCGCCTCCAAGACATGGATGCCCTGCCCACTGGCGACGCGCGCGGGGGCACTGGCGAGCGTGGCCTGGAGGCCGACCAGCGTGGAGGCGAGGGCTGCCAAGTCCACGCCGCTGGAGCTCGCCGCCGAGGCCGCCACGGCGCGCTGGGCAGCCTGAACCTCAACCTCCAGGTTCTTGACCTCCGCGTCGGCCACGCCCTGCTGCCTGCGGAGGTCGTCGACCTTCGCAAGAGCCTCCACGAGGTTGTCCGCCTCCTGGGAGGCTCGAGCTCGTGCCTCCTCCACGCGCTTCTGAAGGGAGACCAAGAGCTGCTCGGTTGGCTGAGCACGGCGCTCCTCTGCCTCCAGGGCGGCGAGCTCCTGTCGCGCTGCCTGGATGAGCGGGTGCTCTTCGGCGTTGCCGGCCTTCTGAAGAGCAGCCAGCCCTTGCCTGGCGCGCACGACTGCAGGCCCAGCAGGTTCTCCGTGAGCAGCGCCATCTGGAGGACCACCACGACCGCGAGGAGGAGGGCCAGAGCGGCGGCGGCGGCCCGCGGAGGCCGACCTCCCGCCCTGCTCCGAGGAGGCGGGCGACTCGCGGACCATGCGTCCGAGGCGGTCCCTGCCACACTTCCAGCACGTCTCACGGTTGGGGAAGTTGTTGCGGAACCCGCACAGCCTCGACGCAGCGCAGGCCCAGTTTGGCTGCTGGGGCGGGGCCGCGCCCTGCCTGGGCTGCTGCTGGGCCATGCCAAGGCTGCTCCCACGGTCGCCGTGGTGCCCAGCAAGCCTGGCGCGGGCCGCGGCCAGGCGCAGCGCGAACCTCGCACAAGATCTCAGGCGGCGAGCCCGTCGGTGCCACGCAGGGCTGCGCGAGCGGGCCCACGGCGCCACGATGCGCGGGCGCCCGCAAGCAGCGGGCAGCCGGCGCGGGGGCTATGGCGCGGGCCCCGCGGCGCCCGCCCGCAGAAACGGCTGCGGGAGGGCGTGGGGCGGGGGCCACGGTGCCAAGCCACCTGGAATGGGACGGAGGAGGAGGATGAGGAGGAGGAGGAGGAGGAGGAGGAGGAGGAGGAGGAGGAGGATGTTGGGGCGAGGGGAGAGGGGGCGGGAGGGGGGGGGGGCCGGGGAGGGAGGAGGACGCGGAGGAGGAGGAAGAGGAGGAGGAGGAGGAGAGGAGGACGACGACGAAGAGCGTGAGCAGACGTTTCGTCTTCGCCGCTTTCGTCGTCGTCCTCCTCCTCCTCCTCCTCCTCCTCCTCCCCTCCTCCTCCTCCTCCTCCTCCCTCCCTGGCCCCCATCCCACCCCCTCCCCCTCGCCCCAACATCCTCCCCCTCATCCTCCGCATCCTCCTCCTCGTCCTCGCCCACCCCTCCTCCAGAACTCCAAAAGGAGCCCCCAAGAATCCCGAAGATGTCGTCAGAAGCCCCTCAGGGAATCCCCAGGACCCCCTCGGGAATCCTCAGGAATCCTTCGGGGATCCTCAGGAACACAAGAAGAATCCTCAGGAACCCAAAAGGAATCCTCAGGACCCCCAAAGGAATCCCCAGGACCCCCATAGGGGATCCGCAGGGATCCCTAGGGAACCCTCAGGGATGGACGCTTAGGGAATATTCAAAGGAACCCCATCCGGAATCCTCCAGAACACCTTCGGACCCCGTAGGACCGCCAGGGCATCCTCAGGAATCCCGAGGGAATCCTCTGGAGCCCCTAAGAAAATGGCAGGACCCCTTCAAAGACGGAAATCCTCTGGAATCTTTAGAGAATCCTCAGGAAACCCTCAGGGATCCGCAGGATCCCAAGAACACCCCCAGGAGCCCCGAGGGCATCCTCAGGACCCCTGGGGGAATGGGGGGGGGAGGTCCCCAGGACCCCCGAGGGGATCCTCAGGAACACCATCGGGGATCCGCAGGAGTCCCTGGGGAACCCTCAGGGATGTCTCGGGAATCTTCAAAGGAACCCCATCGGGAATCCTCCATAACCCCTGAGAGACTCCGTAGGACCCCCCAGGGCATCCTCAGGAATCTCGAGGGAATCCTCAGGAATCCCTAAGAAATCATCAGGAACCTTAAGACGGAAATCGCCGGGAATCTTTAGAGAATCCCCAGGGACCCCTAGGAGATCCTCAAGAATCCTTAGAGCATCCCCAGGAGCCCCGAGGGCATCCTCAGGACCCCCTGGGGAAGGGGGGGAGGTCCGCAGGACCCCCGAGGGGATCCTCAGGAACCCCATAGGGCATCCGCAGGAATCTCTGCGGACCCCGCAAGGATGTCTTGGGAATCTTCAAAGGAAGCCCATCGGGAATCCTCCAGAACCCCTGGGAGACTCTGTAGGACCCCCCAGGGCATCCTCAGGAATCCCGAGGGCATCCTCAGGAATCCCAAGGGAATCCTCTGAAATCCCTAAGAAAATGGCAGGAACCCTTGAAAAGGAAATCGCCAGGAATCTTTCGAGAATCCCCAGGAAACCCTCAGGGATCCCCAGGAATCCTTGAAGCGCCCCCAGGAGCCCCGAGGGCACCCTCAAGACCCCCTGGGGGAGAAGGGAGGGGGTCCTCAGGACCCCCTAGGGGACAGGAGATCCGCGGGAATTTCTGGGAAACCATCAGGGATGCCTCGGCAATCTTCAAAGGAACTCCATCGGGAATCCTCCAGAACCCCTTAGAGACTCCGTGGGACCCTCCAAGGCATCCCCAGGAATCCTTCCCAGGAATCCCGGCGAATTCCTCAGGAACCCGTAAAAAGGAAATCCCCCGGAATCTCTAGGGAATCATCAGGAACCCCGATGGGGTCCTCAAAAATCATTAGAGCATCACCAGGAACTCCGAAGGCATGCTCAGGACCACCTGGGGGGAAGGGGGTGGGGGAGGGGAAGGTCCCCAGGACCCCCTAGGGGATCCGCGGGAAACCCTGGGGAGCTCTCAGGAGCCCCTAAGGATCCCGCAAGGGAAAAGCTCTGGAATCCTCCAGACCCCCCAGGAGTCCTGAGGAGACCCTTAGGGGATCCTTTGGAATCCCATGGGGATCCGCAGGAATCCCTACGGATTCCCCAGGAACCCATCGGGAATACTTTTGGAAGATGTTGGGGGGATCCGGAGGGAGCCTGAGCGACCCCCTGGGAGCTCCTAGGCCGCTCAGAGGCCGCTGAGAGGCCGCTCAGAGGCCGCCCGGAGGCCGCTCACAAGCCGCTGATAGGCCGCTGAGAGGCCGCCGAGAGGCCGCTCCGAGGCCGCTGAGAGGCCGTTGAGGGGCCGCTCAGAGGCCGCCCAGAGGCCGCTGAGAGGCCGTTGCGAGGCCGCTGAGTGGCCGCTCGGAGACCGCTGAGAGGAAGTGAGAGGCCGCTGAGAGGCCGCTGGCAGGCCGCTGAGAGGCCGCTGACAGGCCGCTCAGAAGCCGCTGAGAGGCCGCTGCGCTGAGAGGCCGCTGCGAAGACGCCGAGAGGCTGCTGAGAGGCCGCTGAGAAACCGCTGAGAGGCCGCTCGGAGGCCACTCAGAGGCCGCTTGGAGGCCGTTCAGAAGCCGCTGGGAGGCCGCTGAGAGGCCGCTCGGAGGCTGCTCAGATGCCGCTCGGACCCCCCTTTCGCGCGGGCAAGGGGACACGCTGCGTGGGGCACGGGGCACGGGGCAGGCCACATGGGCCATGGGACAGCGGGCATGGGGGATGCCCAATGGGGATGGCGCATGGTATATGGAGCACGCCCCGTGGATGCATGGCCGATGGTGGGGCATGGACGACGCCCTATGGGGCATGGGCATGCGCGAGGGGCAAGGGGGGAAGGGGGGGAGGGGGGGGGGGTGCATGGAGCATGCCGCCTGGGGTATGAGGCATGGGCCCTGCCCCGTGGCGCCATGGGGCTTGGGGCATTCCCCATGTGGTACGGGGTGTGGATGTCCCGTTTTTTTTTTGTTGTTTTTTCGAAGGGGGGACATGGGGAATGGGACATGCCCGTGGGCCATGGGATATGGAGCATGCCCTATGGGGCATTTCCTACGCACGTACGACTGCGGCAGGTGGCCTGGGACACGCTGCATAATGATCACGGGGCGTGGGGGACGGGCGAGCCCCGTCGGGCGGCATGGGGTGAGCCATTGGGCATGGGGCGCGCCCCATGGGGCATGAGGAAGGCCCCATGGTGAACAGGGCATGGGGCACGCCCCATTGGACATTCAGCATGCGGCATGCCGCATTGGGCATGGGGCATGCCCCATGGGGCATGGGCCATGCCCCATGTGGCCCGCGACATCGGCCCTCGCGAGTGAATGACAAAGCGGTTGGGGTCGCAGCGTGGGGCCGCTGCATGGCCGAATTGAAGGAGCACAACAGCTCGCCCAGCAGGAAAAACATTAGCCTGGCGAAGGACTCAATCATATGCAGTTGTGAACCCAGCAATTGTGAATATCTTCTTCGTTGGCCCTCCCTATGGGGCCACGAAACGCTGTACTTGGTGGGTGAAACGCAGGGGGCAAGGGCTGCGCTGGGCGGTGGCGGACGCGCGCGGGCGGTGCCGCTGGGACCTTCCGTGGAGCTCCCTATGGGGCCACGAAGCGCTGTACTGGGTGAATGAAACGCAGGGAGCAAGGGCGGTACTGGGTGGTGGCGGACGCACGCGGGCGGTGCCACTGGGGCACTCGGTGGGGCCCCCTTATGGGGCCACGAAACGCTGTACTGGGTGGGTGAAACGCAAGGAGCAAGGGCTGTGCCGGGTGGTGGCGGACGCGTGCGGGCGGTGCCACAGGGGCCTTCGGTGGGGCCCCCTTATGGGGCCACGAAACGCTGTGCTTGGTGGGCGAAGCGCAGGGAGCAAGGGCTGCGCTGGGCGGTGGCGGACGCATGCGGGCGGTGCCACTGGGACCTTCGGTGGGGCCCCCGTATGGGGCCACGAAGCGCTGTACTGGGTGGGCGAAACGCAGGGAGCAAGGGCTGTGATGGGTGGTGGCGGACGCATGCGGGCGGTGCCACTGGGACCTTCGGTGGAGCTCGCTATGGGGCCACGAAGCGCTGTACTCGGTGGGTGAAACGCAGGGAGCAAGGGCTGTGCTGGGCGGTGGCGGACGCATGCGGGCGGTGCCACTGGGGCCTTCGGTGGAGCCCCCTTATGGGGCCACGAAGCGCTGTACTGGGTGAATGAAACGCAGGGAGCAAGGGCTGTGCTGGGCGATGGCGGACGCATGCGGGCGGTGCCACTGGGGCCTTCGGTGGAGCTCCCGATGGGGCCACGAAACGCTGCACTGGGTCGGCGAAGCGCATGGAAGAGGGAGGAGGGAGGGAGGAGGGGGAGGAGGAGGTGAAAAGGAGAGGAACGCGGGGACCGCTTCTTCAAAACGAGGACCCAACACCACAGGATGGTTGGGAATACAGATTTCGGCGTGGCTTAGCGGAGCACCGTGCAAGGCCAAATTGGTAAACGCGATCTTCTGCCCGCGAACAAAACCATAAAGTTTTTGGCGTAGCCGCGCGGGCCCGTCGCCGTTCCCGCAAGAACAAGCACAAAGGCGCGCCCAGTACCAAAAACACAAAGGACTCCGGGGCAGCCATGGTGGCAACCGCGCGACACAAACCAAAAAACGCAACGCCGTGGGCCAATAACAACTATCCTGGCGAAGGACCCACCCATTAGCAATTGTTCGTAACGCGTTGTAGGTGCCGCTTTCGGTGGGGCTCCCTATGGGGGCACGAAGCGCTGCCTTGGGTGGGGGAACCGCATGCGAACTGCGCCACTGGGGCGGGCCGGACAGCCCTATGGGGCCACGAAGCGCTGCCCTGGGCGAGGGGACCGCATGCGAACTGCGCCACTGGGGCCTTCGGTCGAGCACCCTATGGTG